CAATTATTTTATTTACTGATCATGCAGCTTTAAAATACCTACTTACTAAGAAAGATGCAAAATCACGTCTCCTATGTTGGATATTATTACTACAAGAATTTGATTTAATCATCAAAGATAAGAAATGAGTAGAAAATGTGGTAGCTGATCACTTGTCAAGAATAAACTATGAAATAAAGGAAGAACCAACTCCGATTAGAGAAACTTTTCCAGAAGAATAACTATTAGTAGTAACAGAATTACCATGATATGCAGATATATTTAATTATCTAGCTACTGATACTATTCCCTCTAATTATACCTGGTCCAATAGAAATAAATTTATAAGTGAGGTACGAAAATTTTTCTGGGAAGATCCTTACCTATTTAAATATGGTAAAAATCAAATTATAAGGCGTTGTGTACCTAATCATGAAATAGGTTAGGTTATTCAGTTTTGTCATTCCGAAGCTTATGGAGATCATTTTGCTTCAAAGAAAACCGCTGCTAAGATTTTGCAGTATGGATTTTATTGTCCAACTCTTTTTAAAGATGATCATATTTTTTGTTTAAATTGTGGCAGATGTCAAAGAATGAGAAATATTTCGAAAATAAATATGATGTCTTTGAACTCGATTTTAATCATTGAAATTTTTGATTGTTGGAGCATCGATTTTATAAGTTCATTTCCCCCATCTTTTGGATATCTGTATATTTTGGTTGCAGTCGACTATTTCTCTAAATGGGTAGAGACAATTTTATGTAAAAATAATGATCACATAACAATGATCAAGTTTTTGAAAGAAAATATTTTGTTCAGATTTGAAATTCCTCAGATCATTATAAGTGACAGTGAATTACATTTTTATAATAAAGTTTTTGAAAATCTTATGAAAAAATACTTAATTTTACATAAAATATCTACTCTACATCATCCACAGACAAGTGGACAAACTGAATTAGCTAATAGGGAGATGAAATATATTTTAAAAAAACAGTAAATCCAGATCGTAAAGATTGGTCCATAAGATTGACTGATGCGCTTTGAGCTTACCGTACTGCATATAAAACTATTTTAGGGATGCCTCCTTATCGGTTAGTATATGAAAAACCATGTCACTTGCCTGTGAAATTAGAATATCAAGTGTATTGGGCAATCAAAATGATGAATTTTGATATAGACAAAACTGGAATAGCTCGTAAACTTCAAATAAATGAATTAGAGGAATTAAGAAATGAAACTTATGAAAATACAAAAATTGCTAAATCAAGAACAAAAATTTTTCATGATAAAAATATCATGTGAAAATCTTTTGAACCATCTCAAAAGGTGCTATTATATAATGCAAAACTTTGTTTATTTCCTGAAAAATTAAGATCAAGATGGACAGGTGAATACAGAGATATTCTTTGATCCAAGAGAGTTAACACTAAGAAAATTCAAGAAGTACGAGAAGTTCAAGAAGAAAGAATGTAAATGCACAAGTGCAACGAAGACAATGGAAAAATTGGAGATAATCTACGATCATCTACAAATGTCTCATAAGGCATATAGCACAATGGAGATGGCTGTGAAGATCTTAGCTATTGAAGGAGGTGGATCTCATCCTCATGAAGTTGTCAATAATTCCATGAAACCCCTCGATCATGAAGTACTTTGCAAGATAAGGATTTGAAGTTGTTGGAAAATAGACTTGATTTTAGAGTTTTATTATATTAATGTGGTGCGTGTTAATATTATATGTTAGTGGAAGAAATATGTTAGTGCGTAATCAATATCGAAATAGCGAGAGACAAGAGTAATAGTTATCTCTTTATATTTTAAGAGTTACAAAAGTTAGTGGAGGTAGTTGTGTACAAATGTAATGGTAGGAATTATGACTTAGACCTATATAAATAGGATATATGTTCTAGTGTTTGAAGGAAGTAGAGTTGAGTAGAAGTTGAATAGTCCAAGAGTAGAAGTTGAAGAGTCCAAGATAAGTGTGTTCTTTGTAATCAACTTGAATAAAACTATTTTTTATTTGAGTGTTCATATCTTCCTCTACTTCTTTTTATTTTGTTTCTAGCCCCCTTGACTCAAATAAAATGGTATCAATATTTAACCAAAGTAATATTAGGGTAATTCCAAAAGCTCCTACATTAGAAACATCCATGCAATTATATTAAGTGAAAGACGGTTTGATGTCTTCCTCACTTATTACATGAACATAATACCCATCATCTATATTTATATTTATTTTATACTACTAATAAAAGTATCTTAACATGAAAAATTTTTAATTCTCTATTTTTCCCTCATAAAAAATTACAAAGACCACTATATCCATTCACAATTAAATATCTAAATTATCTAATATTTTTTTTTATATATTTAAATCTCTAAATTACCTCTAACCTCTCTTTTAAGTATCTATATATTCTCTCTGTATATATATCAATTTCTATGAAATTTTTTGATTGACCATATTATCTTTAAAAAATATGAATCTTTATATTTTCAATAAAGTGTTAAAAAAATTGTCAAAAACTCCATTAATCTAATATTACTCATCTCATACGCAAATATAACATTATCTGCACATATGTTTATTTTCTTTTTCATTAAAAATTTAATCCTTTTATTTCTAAGATAAAAAATAATTGTATATATAGTTTTTAAAAATTTATTTACGCTACATCAATAAAATTTTTCAGTCAGAATAAACTTTTCAAGTTGTATTAAAATTTTATGTGAAAATAGTTTGTAGTGTATTCTTAAATAAAAATTATTTTTTAAAAAATTTTGATTTGTTTAAAATATATATTATAGAGTTGTATATTAAAACTTATCTTAATTGGCATAACTAATTCTTAATTACAATAAAATTCCAATGTGAGTAGTATATTAACAATTACTTTTATTTTATTCAAATTTAAAGAATTATAAGTGGAATCCTAATCGAATGAATTTCAAAAAGTTTAATTTCTCAAACATCATTTAAAAAACACTCTCAATCAAAAAATTCTAAAAAACTAGAACTTTAACTATTTTTGATATATTTTTTTTTCTTATGATTAGAACAACGAATTTTGAGAATATACAAAATTTTCTTAATCCTATAATAGAAATTAGTCTAGTAAATTTGAGATGATATTTAATTCAGATACATATATACTAATATGTTATATTAATTTTTTATGTACAAAAACTATTTATGTGCAACGCACATGGTGCATTTGCAAGTATTTTTAAATCTCACCTCCAATTAATTACCGGTGCACCCCCGGATATCATAACGACATAAAAGTCTCAAATTTGGATTTGTAAACAAACCATGTTTGTAAGTAAAATTGGCAAAACTTAAAATTTTAGAATATGTACGTTTTGCATCATGAATTGCGATCTTGGTTAACAGAAGTCATCCTGAACATCGAGTAAGTCTTGGGTTATCAACTAAATTCAGTATGTTGGCGAATGATTGTTCATTTTGTGTTGTCTTCATTGAATTTATAGTTTGATTCCATGAATTCCTAATGTACTATTGTTGTTGTCCGACCTCCCAAATCGGAGAATATTTCCATTCAGAACAAATGGCATATTCGGTGTTTCTTACTACAAAAGCTTTTTGACCTTTGATTAATGTTTAAGGAAGTAAGCGGGAAACCTATTTTGTACACATAAATGGGGTTGCCTGTTCTTATGGACTGGCAGACATATACTCTCTCTCTTTTTTTTTTTTGGAGGAGAAAACATGAACCCTTGATCCTAAGAAGACAAAGTTTTCACAAAATAAAGAGTACTATTAGACCAAAGATCTCTCGGTGGCTGACATATACCAATCACACATTTTTGGATTATAGAGCGGGTCCTAAACCTCAAACACACCACACGAATTGGCACGTAGAGGAGCAGCAGGAGTTTTCCACCCATATAAGGCAATTCTTTAACTATATTTTTTCAATGTTGTCCTTTCTAATTGTTTCATAAAAACTCATGTTTTTCTTGTCGGAGTTCAGGTCTTTTTATACTATTGTTTAGTTATATATATGAGGATCTATACTTAATTCGTATCCCTTTTGACTCACATATTTATCTAATTTGCTATATAAAATGCATTTGTAAAATATGATTTAAATAAAAAAACTTGAAAGCGTGATTTGCAAGCAAACTTTTATATTAAAAATGTGAGTTTGAACTACACTATCATAAAAATGAAATTAGTTTAAGAAATAAATTAAAGGGTTAATCTTAACTTGCACTTCGAAAGATCATTTAAATCTTAATTTGTACCCTCAAAGATCAAAAATCTTAATTTGTACTCTCAAATATAGAAATTTGTATCAATACGCACCTCAAGCTAGCAACCGTCAAGTCACCGTATAAAATTAAATGGATAAATTATACTTAAACTCCTTCAAGCTTGTTACTTAATCACCTGGACCCCTCACATTTGAAATATTACACCTACGTCCATTGAAAATCCAAATATGACTAAAAATGCCTCCTCAATTGGACATTCAAATGAATTCTATTTAAGTGGTATATTGCATTGGATATAAAAAATATTATATAAATACTTATATTTTTTTGAGCATTCAAATGGTAAATTTAATTTTGAACTTTAGAGTATATCGAACCTACAAAATAAAGGGTAATATAAAATTATATTTTTTTATTAAGATGAAATCATATTTTTTAAAAGTTATATTAACAGATATTAACGAAAAGGGATTACGTATTATATGTGTATAAACGTCATGAGATGTTAGAGTAATATTCTAAATGTGAGGAAGTCTAAATGATTAAATGACAAGCATAAGGAGATTTAGGTATAATTTATCCGTTTAGTTTTAGACAACAAATTGAAGTTTTGATATTTGAATGTACAAATTAAAATTTGAACGATATTTCAGTGTTTAATTTGCAATTAACTCTAAATTAAAAAATGAAAGGTAAAAAAATTATAAAATCACCGTACAAAAGCGATTGGTTCAGAGTAGTGGGAGAACAAATTCGCCCAACGGGAGTGTGGCAATCTCACCTTATCGACACTCCCACCACAACCTCAATTTCCCTTTTCACATCACGCCTCAGCACTATCTAAACCAAAAAAAAAAACATCGAACACTGCTGCATCTCACACCATATTCTCTACTTTGTTCTGGGGTGAAGTGAATTCCTTTTCTTCTGATCATAGTCATACCACAACCTGCAATGGCATCCAGGAACTCTAGCGTGCTGGCATGCAACTACGCCATATCGGGTGCCGGATCGTCAGATCTCGGTGCGAAGCATGCCTCTATGCCTTCCGTGGCTTCTCCCGTCATAAACTACCAGTGATCAGGGCCCAACAGGCTAATATTGATTCAAAAGAGTTGCACGATTCTGCCAGCCAAGGAAGAAGAGCAGCGATTCTTTGCCTTGCAGCTGCCCTTTTTACAACTGCTGCCTCCACCTCTTCTGCTAATGCTGGAATCATTGAAGAACTACTTGAAAAGAGCAAAGAAAACAAGGTTACTTTTTTTTTTATATGGTATAATTTAATGCCTGTCATGGATTGGAGTCACGAAAAATCCTCTCTGCTTGCATGAAAAAACTGCGCATGTTAACATTTTCTAGACCCCACGGTGCCCGGAACATCCACTGTGAGCATTCACAAGTTTTTAATAGACCAAGATAGCTGCCTAGTTTTTATGCTAATGTTGGTTTTTCATAATTAGTTTTATCTTCTCGTACACTGAACCACCTTATAAGTTTCTAGCCTCTATTTGTGCAATGAAATATTTAAAAATATTTATGTCATGATATGAATTGAATGATAAGTAGAGGTTGGCTACAAGCGGCGCAAACTTTGCAAGGGCATTCACTGTTGAATTTGGAACATGTCAGTTCCCTGAGAACTTCACTGGCTGCCAAGATCTTGCCAAGCAGAAGGTTAGTTTGAAGCATATTCACTGTATTTATTTCTTTTCTGGGTTTAGTTGATCATTTTTGTTCACTCAGTTTGTTTTCTCTTGGTTTGTTGTTGCAGAAAGTATCATTTCTCTCTGATGACTTGGAGGTGGAATGCAAAGGGAAGGACAAATACAAGTGTGGTTCCAATGTGTTCTGGAAATGGTGAAGTGCGAAAGCTTGTGCTCCCCTATCCTACTCTTCCCAAAATGTATCTAATTTTCCTTTGAGAACTCCTAATTCAATTTTTTTTTGTCTGTAATCTTCTCTATTTTTTCCTGTTATGTTATGTTAGATTTGTTTAGAATTTTAGATTATATTGATTTGAACTTTGACTTGAGTGGGTAAGATGGACGAGAGTGGGGGCAAAGGTGAAAGCGGGAGACGGGAACGGGGACGGGGTGGAAATTACAAATTTATTCGTGGAGGGGGACGAGGAAGAAAATTATATCCATTAATAGGGTGAATCGGAAAAGAACAGAGTTTTTTTAAGATGGTACTGGGATGGAGACTATACCTCCTGCCCCTACTGCCATCCCTAATCACAATCAGGACCTCCACGAGTGTTTAACTCCAAACATGCAATAGGTTTCGCTTTTATGCCCAAAAGGCCGTTAGTACAGCGCACCAATGATCTGCTCTACTTCTGAAACAAATAGCTCCCAAGGAAACTGTTGGAATCAGTAAGTTCTAGAAACTCCTCCTTTAGTTTTGGGTGTATCACTCGTGACCAATCAAGGATAGGGTGAAATCACAAAATAAAAATAGCGGAATTAATTTTTTTTACCCCTATTTATATAAATTAAATAGGAGATGTGTTAAAATCAATCAATAAAAAATACAAACAAATAATAAATCAACTGCAAGGAAGACTCAAAATTTACATTGTTCCCCCAAACCCGGGGTATGTCCATGAACATCGATTTCAACCTTCCACTATATTCCAATAATGGGTTTACAACAATCCTCCCTAGAACATATTTTTGAATCTTTTTTGCTGAGATGGACAACACTCTGATTGTCATAATAGAGAACATATTTCTCCTGTTGTAAACCCAATTCTTGTACAAATTTCTTCATTAACAACAACGTTTTGCTGGCTTCAGTGACAGTAATATATTCAGCCTGTGGTAGATAAAGCAACATACATCTGTCATTTGGATTGCCATGAAGGTAACCTAAAGTAGACTTCCTAGAGTCGATATCCCTAGCTATATATGCATCTGCAAACACATCAAGCATAAGTTTACCTCTGCTAAAACACAAACAAACTATAGAAGTACATCTGAGATATCTGAGAATCCATTTTCACTGCATCCCAACGTTCTTTACCTGGATTAGAGAGAAGCCGGTTGACTACTCTGACATCATGAGTAATATCAGACCTCATGCACACCATGACATCCATCAAACTACCAACGACTGATGCATAAGACACTCTATTCATCTCTTCCCTTTCTTTCTGACTTGTAGGAATTTGCTTGGAACTCAACTTAAAGTGACCTACAAGTGGAGAACTCACCGGTTTTACCTTGCTCATGTTGAACCTATCTAGCACCTTCTCGATATAGCTCTCCTGAGATAATCACAATTTTCCTTTACTCCTATCATGAGAGATTTTCATACCTAGTATCTGTCTTGGCAGTCCCAATTCTTTCATAGCACAGAACTTATTGAATTCTCTTCTCAAAGAATTAATTTTACTACTGTCACGACCAACTATCAACATGTCATCCACATAAAGCAAGAGAATGATAGATCCTCTATCTAAAAATTTCTTCACAATGATTAGTAGTACTCCTGGTACAACCATGGTCAACCATAAAAGAATCAAATTTCTTGTACCACTGTCTTGATGCCTGCTTGAGCTCGTACAAACTCTTTTTCAACCGACACACTGTATCCTCTTTGCCTTTAAATGTGAAGCCTTCTAGCTGCTCCATTCAGATTTCCTCCTCTAAGTCACCATGAAGGAAAGCAGTCTTCTTGTCAAGCTCTCAGTCTCTAAATTCATATTGTCTGCCAAGCTGAGAACAACTCTGATAGAAGACATCTTTACCATGGATGAGAAAATTTCTTCAAAGTCAATGCCCTTTTTCTGACCAAATCCTTTCATAACCAGTCTTGCCTTGTACCCGGGCTGTGAGCTATTTGGTTAAATTTTCAATATTAACACCCACTTATTCTTGAGTGCTCTCTTACCCTTAGGTAGTTCACCAACTCATAGGTGTGGTTTGCAGGCTAAGATTTCATCTCCTCGTGCATGGCTTTCTATCCCTCCTCCTTCTTCTGAGTGTGTGACATAACCTCTTCAAAACTCAAGCTCTCCACCATCTATGAGCAACACATATTCATTAGGAGAATACTGTTTGGGAGGTCGACACTCTCTGGTAGTTCTTCTTAGCTAAGTTTCAACCGGTGGTTCTGAAGGAATTGGCTCTACGTGCTGAGGTAACTCTAGAAGGACACTCTAGATGTTCTGGCTCTATAGGATTAAGTACAGGTACTTCATCAACAACAACTATTGGTTCATCAACCATATCAACCTGTTCTTCTTGGACATCTCCTCCATGATCATCAAGCATAATGGGTGAAGGAGAAACTAGACCCAAATCAACAAGTTTCTCACTGAAAGACTCTGGAGTTTTAGACCTTTTCAAGTCTGTAGTGGTTTAATCTTCAAAGAAAACCACATCTCTGCTTCTGACAATTTTTCTGCCAATTGGGTCCCATAATCTGTAACCAAATTCTTCTGGTGCCTAACCTAAAAAGATACATTGTTTAGCCTTGCTGTCAAGCTTGAATCTCTCATCATGAGGAATGTGTACATATAATTAGCAATCAAACACTCTCAAATGCTTAAAAGAAACATCCTTACCTCTCTAAACTCTTTCAAGAATATCACCATCCAAAGGAGCTGACAGAGAAATATTCATTAAATCAATAGCTGCCCTCATCGCCTCACCCTAAAAAGATAGTAAATATTTTTGCATGAGAGAGCATACACATAATTCTCTCAAAAATTGTTCTATTCATTATCTCTGCTACCCCCGTTATGCTGTGGGATCTTTGGAACAGTTTTCTCAATTCTGATACCATGGTTTTTGTATTACCCTTCAAAAGGTGCATAGTATTCACCACCATTATATGCTCGGATACACTTTAGCTTTCTTCCTATCTCCCTTTCAACTTTCACAAGAAAAGCTTTGAATACATCAAGTACCTAGTCTTTAATTTTCAAAGCAAATGTCCACACCTTTCTAGAGTAATCATCAATAAAAGTCACATAATATAATGCACCACCCTAAGATTTTGCTTTCATATAGCTAACATCAGTATGAACTAAATCCAAATCATTATTTTTTCTAAATGGAGGGGATTTAATAAATGGAACTCTATTTTATTTTCCAACAAGACAATGAGTGCAAGGCTTCAGTGGCATACCTCTAATGTTAGGTAGGAGCTATTCATTAGCAAGAATATGAAGTCCTTTCTCAAACATATGGCCAAGTTTCCTATTTCATGCTCAACTACATTCACATCACCCTTGATTATATTTATCTTAGTCTTGTAGAGACTGTTAATCTTCTTCCCTTGGATAACCTAGGAGAACCCTTGCTATGTTTCCATTTTTCATCACCCAAGTGATTATGATAGCCTTCATCATCAAGTTTTCGAATAGAAATCAAGTTGAAGCTTATCTATGGAAAAAAGCAATTTACACCCAATGATGGTTTCAAGTAATACATCTTTAATGCCTGCAATCTTGCACTTTGTTTCATTTCCCATCTTAATCCAACCAAAGTCACCACTGGAATAGGAAGAAAAGAAATCTCTACGTGCAACAATATGAAAATAAGTTGTATCAATTACCCAAGTAAAGTCCTCACTTGCGAGATTAGCACAAGCATCATCACAAACAATAATGACATCAGCCTCAGATGCAACTACTGTTGTATTATTTTTATCTTCTTTTTTTGATTTTGTTCTCGTTTATACTTTTTGTACTCTTTCTTATAGTGCCTGAGCTTGCCACAATGGAAGCACTTTACCCCCTTTCTTGACTGCATAGTTTTTGACTTGGATCTACCTCTTGATTTGTCATGATTACCATCACTGTAATTTCTGGTTTTACTTCTCCCCCGATCTTTTGTAACAGGTGCTTCTAAAGTAGAAGAAATACCCTGCTCTTTTCATCTGGCCTTCTAAATGAAGTAATTTGATGTCGTTAATTTAATTATGGTATCTAAAGATTCCTCCATTTAATTTGCACAAGGAAATCCATGCAATCTAATCAAGTAACCTCGTTTTGATACAATTTTGATAGGGTGAACTCCAAAAAATTAGCAGAATTAATTTTTCAACCTCTCTTTATGCAAATTAAATAGGTGATGTACAAAATCAATCAACCAAAAATAAAAGTAGATAATAAACTGACCACAAGCAAGACACAAAATTTACGCAGTTCCCCTAAACCCGGGGTACGTCCACGAACATCGATTTCAACCTTCCACTATATTCCAATAACAAGTTTACAACAATATTTCCCAGAACAATTTCAAGGACTATCAAAGTATCAGTAATTCATCCCTCAAAGATAAATATCAACAAAATAACAAGAGATCTAACCTAATAGATCCTACAAATGTATCCATCCGAGAAGGCATTTGACAAAATAAATTAATCACTGCTTAATTCCCATTATCCTGAACACCATACTAAAATTTTATCAAAATAAGACGTTGATTGCCTACCCGTACTCTGGCTCGAAGATCCTACGAGAAAAGCCCACTCCCCTCGGTTTGTGCAAACAAGGCTACTGCCACCTCTTGCTTCTTGCCTCAGTTCACGTCACCTACTACCGATGACTTCTTTTGTTGACAAAAAAATCCAATTCCTACTTGGTTTTGCTTCATGCGGTCAAAGGTTGACCACGTTATTCCACAAAGCACCCCTTTTCTTTAACTAATGAATTTTTAACCTATGAACTATGGGTTGGGCTGCCAGCATGGGCTGGACCCAAACCCAACACAATCAACAACTAGATGTTTGATTATCAGTTCTTGATTGTCAAAGGTAAAGAGATTAATCGAGCTGAATTCGAGTTTAATAGTTTGACTATTTACACATAAATGAGCTAACTCGTTTAAATATTTACACATAAATGAG